TCAAAAAATAATAATATTATATATAATACATATATAAAGACAAAAACACACACACACACACACACAACAAAAAAAAACAAAAAAAAACAAAAAAAAAAAAAAAAAAAAAAAAAAAAAAAAAAAAAAAACACGCCCGAGCGATGCCAAGGCCGCGCTGCAGGCGCACCACTCGGTCGCCATGTGCGAGGACCTCGGCACGAGTGGAACACCCCCGGTCGTCGCGGGGGGCAGACCGCGACGCGGGGCGCAGCGGGCGCGGCCGCCGGCACAGGAGGTGGATCCGTGGATGTTTCCTCCTCCTCCTTCCCCTCCTCCTCCTCCTCCTCCTCCTCCTCCTCCTCCTCCTCCTCCTCCTTCCCCTCCTCCTCCTCCTCCTCCTCCTCCTCCTCCTCCTCCTCCTCCTCCTCCTCCTCCTCCTCCTCTAGGGGGGAAACAAACCTACCTCGCTTTTGACCACCCTCGCTTCCAAGGGATACCAAGCGATGCCAAACTGCGGCTTGTGCTGGTCAGGCCGCTTGGCAGGGAGGCGCGTGGTATGACCTGGTTCTGCCTGGAAGCGAAAGCGGGGTGGGTAATTCACGCTCTGATGTCCAGCTCTGCGCGGCTCGTCGTCGCTGCTCGCCCCGTCGTCGTAAGAGCTCCAGCGGAAGCTGGGCGCCGTGGAGCTCGTCGAGGTTCCGTCGCTACGCGCGGTCGAGGGCGGCGCCCCTTCCGCTTCGGATCGGCCGCCGCTTGACATCCAGGTGCCGCGGCCGGCGAACAAAATGGCCACTCCCCCGGATGGCTGGCTTACGTCATGGAGAACGCGCTGGTTGAATAGGGCCAGATCGTTCGGAGACTCCTGCACCAGCGGCGACAGTGCCGCCAGCGCGGACGGCGGCAGCCACATGGAGCAGGTTCCACATGGCGCACCGATGCCGAGGGCTGAGACCGAGGGCACGCAAGCCCATGTCGGCAACTGCACGTCGGCAGGCGGAGTCGCAGGCGTGGTGACACTGGCGTTGACGTCGCTCGCCCAGTCGCGCCCTCGCCGTTGCCCCAGCAGGAAGGCATCGGCCACTCCAGTCCAGCGCGCGGCATCGGCGGCGGCGGCGGCGGCGCTGCTGATGCTGCTGGAGCTGCGGGCGCCGTTGGTGACGCAGGTGCTGCGCCCCCCACTTCTGCCGCACGGAGCGGCAACAAAGTTGCCAGACCCACCGGTCGAGCAGAGCCCTGCCGCGCGCGGCCCACGAGGTCGCCCATCTCTCGACACAGTCGTCACGCTCTGCAGCTCTGGGGCTGGAAGAGGACGATGACGACGAGGCCCCCACTCAGCTCGACCAATAGCTGCGGCCCACCGCCCGCCGCGAGCCGCCAGACGAGGCACTCGGCGCTGCTGCCGGCGCCGGCCGCGCAGATGCCGACGCTGGAGCCGGTCGCCCGCCGCCCCAGGGGTCGGCGCCCTGCATGGGATCACCAAAGCCAGATCCCAGAACCACAGGTTGGGGAATCTCCGAGGTGCCCCTGGCCATCCAGACCGCGCAGGCGCCTGGCACTGGCTGTCGAGTGGCTGGCCTTTGGCGCTCCTTGACGCCCAAAGTGCGCAAGTGGTGAGGGTGCTGGTGACGGCGGCGGCGCTGCCGAGGCTGGGGCGCGAAGGAAGGGGGCGCGCCCTCGCCGGCGGCGTCGGGGACAGTCGCGCACGAGGTGCTCCTCAGAGTCGCACTCGCGGCACTCGAGACGCACCCCGCCCGCGCCAAGTGGTTTGCCTTGGCGGCCAAATCCCATCCCACCTGTCCGGCGCGCACCCTTTCCCTCGCCCCCGCCTTCACCGAAGCCAGCGAAAGTCCCTCGAAGGTCGTTCACGGACACGTCGGCCAGGAAGGCGCGGTAGCCCTCGCCGCGGCCACTGCCCTTGCGCTCGATGACACCCCGGACGCGGCCCGCGGGCTCGCCGTCGCGAAAGCGGCGCCATCGGGACTTGGCGCGGTCGCGAGCCCGAAAGAGGCGCGCACCGCGATGCCACGTGGTCGCCTAGCTCGGGACCGTCGGCAGCAACCTCTCCTCCGAACGAGCTGGCGGCGCCGGAGTCGGCGCCGGAGTCGACACCTGCTGCCGCGCACGCCACCTGCGCCGGCGCCACCGCGCCCGCGTCGGCCGCGGAGGCTGCTGCAGGTGGACTCGGGCAGCGGGCCCCATGCCACCCCAGGTCGATCTGGCTGCAGTGCCCAGTCGGGCCTGTCCCCCTACAGGGGGACGTTGGGCGAAAAACCAGAAATAGTCAAAAATACCTTCAAATGCCCATCGTCCCCAGACTATTTTTTGCATATTCTTGAATATTCCTCCTGTAGAAGGACAGGCCCGACGTAGCCACAGGCACTCTGCACCTGATCTGGCGAGGGGGCTCTCGCGAGGAGCGTCCGGCCTCGGGGCGCGGGCACGGCCGCGGCGAGATACTGGCTGGCGCTCTCCGGCGCCGGGGCCGCGCGGGGGGGGCCAAACGCAGACGCGCACGACGCCGCTGCCGCATCGCTCCTCCTCCTCCTCCTCCTCCTCCTCCTCCTCCTCCTCCTCCTCCTCCTCCTCCTCCTCTCCTCCTCCTCTCCTCCCTCCTCCTCCTCCTCCCTCCTCCTACGATTTCTGGGGGGGAGGGTGGGGCTTATTTCGTTCGGGAGCTCCCGAACGAAGTGAACCCCACCCTCCCCCCCAGAAACTTTGTGGGGGGTAGGGGTAGGGTTCGCAAGTGGCCCCCTCGTTCGGCGATTCGGGGGGCCCCAGCGGGCCCGCACCAAGGGTCACTCCGGCGGAAGGGCACTCTTCTGCGCAGTCGAGAGAACCTGGCGGCGGGGCGGCAGCGGCGCCGCCGGCCGCGGAGAGCAGGGAGCGGAGCACGAGGGCGGTGAGGGCGGGCCTGTGGACTGTCAGCGCGGCGGGGAAGCTATAACGATACACGTGTCGAGGTCGAACTTCGCGTGGCTGGGTAAGGCGGTGTCCCGGGGAGGGGGGGGGCCAGCGCCGTGGAGGCAGGGTGGCGAGGAGGCGCCCTGGCGGCGCGCGGAAGGGAGCCGAAGCCCCGCGACCAACTGGAAGTGAAGGGTGAGGGTGAAAGGTGCACTTCTCTGACTACCTACCAGACCACCCCAACCCAACCCGAAGACCCGAATTTGAATCGAATTTCGGGTTGGGGGGGTACGGGTTCCATGTGTTTTTTCCATGTTCCCCGACCCCCCCCACTGGAAATCGAGGATAAATTTGGGCCTTCGGGTTGGTTTGGGGTGGTTTGGTGGGTGGTGATTCTCAGCACGCGGAAGACCAAAGAGTCAGACGTTGTATCAGGCGATGTCTAAGACAGGCACGGAAGCTTGGCCAGCCTCCGTGCCCCCGAGCAAAAATGGCAGCGGGCAGGGGAGAACATTAAGGCAAGTAGCAAGAGGGATAGTATGCTAAGGTACCGCTCGAGTGGGGGAGGGGGGAGGAAAGAGGCGGAGGGAGGGAGGAGGAGAGGGGAGGGAAGGTGGCGCGAAGGAGGAGAGGGGGGAGGAGGGAGGGGGAGGGGGGCAAGCTAGGTGCGCTCGCGTCATATATCACGTCCTACCCCTCCCTCCCATCCTTTACCGTGGCGTCGATATCCTCTCTATTCGCACATTCGGATGTCGAGCAGGGCAATGATCCCGACAGGGTGCACGATGCATCGTAGAGCACGGCATAGCAGGGCGTAAAAAAACACGGCAGAGCGTAGTATGTCATAGCATGGCGTGGCGTTGCGTAGTGAAGAATTGCATCACAAAGCATGGCAATGCAAAGAATGGCATCGCACAGCGGCACCTAACAGAAGATATCATAGCATGGCGTTGAAGATCAAAGCGTAGCATGGCATAGCATGGCGTGGCACTGCGTAGTCAAGCACTGCGTATCCTAGCATTGCAGCTGAAGGCATGGCATCGCACATCGGAACACCAGATAGCATTGCATTGCATGCCGTGGCATGGCACTGGAAATAATGACGCCTGCGCTGCAGCGGGAGCACGATTCGGAACGAGCGGCAGCGTGGAAATCAGGCGAACGCTGCAGCGGGAGCACAATTCGGAACGAGCGGAAGCCCCCCGAAAATGAGGCCAACGCTGCAGCGGGAACAACATGTAAAAACACACACACACAACAAAAAAAGAATCCCATGAATCCTGTGTAAAAAATTATGCGGAGGGGGGCCGAATGTCATCCAGACGTCATCAGGGGAGAGAGGAGAGTAGTAGTGTTCAGATTGTGTAAGTGTAAAGGAGGAGGGAGGGAGAGGAGGGAGACGGGGAGGAGAGGGGGGAGGCGAGGAGGAAGAGAGGGACGCAGGGCAGAGGGGCAAGAGAAGGGGGAAGGGAGGAGGAGCGAGGACGCCCTTCAGCGCGGAGGCTGCGCGGATGCGCCCGACACGGGGGCCACGCCACGAAAGTCGATGCACGGACACCCGCCAGGCGAGCTCCTCCTGTACCCGCAGGGAGGGCGGCGGTGTGCGACATACGCTGGCTCCTGGCGGTGACCCTGAGATCCGACGCTGCGAAAACAATGCAACGTCGCAGCAGTTCACGGACGAAGCCCCAGACCCCAGCTTTCTGCTGCATTTCTCGTGCCGGATCGGTACGTGATGGCCTCGGGGCCCAGAACTGGGCGAAGACGTTGGCCTTGGCCAGGACCTCCGGGGATCCGGAACTGCACTGCCGCCCTCCCCCGAGGCCCAGGAGCCGCCCACTGGGCGGCGCCGCTTGCAGCACAGAAGGCCCCAACCCTGCCCACCCCCGCGGCGAGCGCCCACCTGGTGGCCGCACTGGATAGACGAGCGCGTTCCACGACTCGCAGAGTAACTACTCGCCAATGGCCTGGATCCGCCGCGGGGGATCTACGACAAGTTGCGTCGAAGCAGGCATGTGTTTTTCGGACGTCTGTGGGTAGGCATTTTGCGAGTCATGAAACGCGCTCGGTGGCTGAAGGCCCCGCCCGCCCACCACCACCCCCCAGCGGCCAGCGCTCGCCTGCTGGCCGCTCGGCGAGCTTCGTCCAGCCGCCGCCAGGCCCACAGCCCGTCCTCGAGCTCAGAGGCGACGCGGAAGGCGCGCGTCCTGCCCGGCCCCTGTCCCCAGCGGCCGAGCGCCGGCTCGGCGGCTTCGGCGCTGCCGGCGGCGGCGGGGCGGACGACGCACCGATCCCCCAACGGGACGCACAAAGACATACCAGTACTGTCTGTGTTCTCCTTGGAGACGCGCGTCCGACCCAAACATATCGCATGCTCATATTGTAGTATATCGTTTCCCGAGCGGTGTGGCCAGAAAGCGCCCGCCACGACGCATATACTACAACGCGCATCACCCCTGGGGGGGCGACGCACATTACCCCTGGGGGGGCGACGCACATCACCCGGTGCCAAGATCTCTCGGTGCACGCATCACCCCTGGGGGGGCGACGCACATATGGTATAAGTATGCTGGGGCGACGCTGGCCCAAGTCGACTGGCTGACCGGCTGGCCGGCGGGCCAGCGAGGGCGGCGAGGGCGGCGAGGGCGGAGGGCGGAGGGCGGCGGCGCCACGCTGGCGGCGGCCGCGGGGCGAGGGGCCGCGGGCCCAGACCCCCGACGTAATGAATTTTTCATCAAGTCGACCCCAGAGTTCTCGACCACTTCCCCAGGACCGGTTTTGCATCCTGAATCGTTTTTGGACGCTCCCGAGGCCCGGTGAGGGCCCCCAGAGGCCGAAAATGGTGAAAAGCCTCCCGTCCTGATTTTTTCATTACTCGAGGGGGTCTGGGGGGGGGCACCGGGAGGCTCGGGTCGGTCCTCCGCGGAGGCGCGAGTCACAGCTCGCGGCTGCCGGGCGGGTGCCGCCCCATGGGGGAGCGACGACGAGGGCCGGGGGCCACGGGAAGCGCCGGGCCGGAGGCCGCGGAGGGCCCCAGGAAAGGGAGCGGAGGGTGGGGGGACGAGAGGAGTGGCCGGAAGGCTGGGGGGAGGAGGAGGGGGAGGAGGAGGTAAAAGGTAAAGGTAAAGGCGCTTAGGGGGCGGTTCCCAAGTCCACTTGGAAAATGGCTGATGCCCCTGCGAGAATTTACGGATGCAGGGCCGCACGTTGCCGCGAGGCCTGCCGGCCACGCGTGCTGCTGGCTCATGGCGCTCCCAGCCTTAGACACGCACATGATCGCCTGCCAGGAAGCACGGGCGGCGTTGGCGGGGGGAGCCCCCTGCAACTTGGAAGGAGGAGGAGGAAGACGACGACGACGACACTACGACGACGTCGAGAAGAGGAGGGCACGCAGTGCAGGCGCCGTGACTGCTGCGCGTGCACGCGTGCTGGGGGCTGCTTTGCCCTCTGTCTCGAAGCCTTGGAAACTAACATCTGAAAGTAAGCCCGCCCTCCCATCCCAAACTCGCCACCCCAGTCCATCCCAACAGAAACACTACCTCGTGAGACTAGCTCTCGCCACGGTAAGGCCAAGAGGGGCGACGCGCCAAATGCGCGCCGTCATCCCCCCCCTCTGACACGCCAAATGCGTGCCGCCCCCCTCTTCTTCTGATTTTTTCTTTCGGTTCCTGGGGAGCAGGGGGACGCTCCTTTCTCCGTCTTCATGAGCTGAGGATGAAGGGAAGGAGGAGGCAAGAGAACAACAATATTCTCGATATGATTCGTGTGTTTGCTTTGGATGTTACTTTACTCAAGCGCTATCAAATGCAATCTCGCACTTCTGCAAAACACCATACCAATGTCTATCCACGGCTGCACCGCCAAGGAAATTTCGTTCCTCTTGTATTTAGAAAGCCCTCGTGTTTGCAACTCCCGCAAAGAAATGCCATTCGCCAGTTCCTCACTGTCTGCACACATGAAAATGTCATACACTCTGTCCATAAGCGGTCCGAAATGATGTGCAAGACGTTTCGCGGATTGATACACCAACCTCGCGCGCTGAATTGTTTCTCTGTTAGGTTTGAACGATTGTTTCTTGATGCGATTCTTCACCAAGCAAGGTCGGCCCACGCTTATTTCATTCCCTGCGCCTGCAATCCATGCGACGTCCATCTGATTGTTCGGCTGCCCACACCTGGGAAATAGGTAACTATCTTCTTTGATCTGAGTCGTACCGCATAAGAGTCCCACGAGCTCGTCCGTGCAAGCTTCCCATTTTGATGCTAAAGAAACCAAGCATACTTCATTAGAGGGCGAGTGTACATGTAGTACTTCTGAGCTGTCGTCTTGCAACTCTCTTTGTAAGTCCGTGCTTGTGCCCTGGTCAATAAGACATGGTCCACTTTCACTTGTCAGTATATTCAAAGCCTCCTCCAGATATTGTATGTGAAACTTCATTTTCTGCTTTTGTGATTTCCTCATTTGTCTCCGAAGTCGTGTGCGATCTGTGCCGAAGCCGGGTGGTGCGCCTGGGCGCCCGGTGCGGCCGCCGTATTCGGCAGCCGCTCCCGAGGAGGAGGAGGGGAGGAGGAGGGGAGGGAGGAGGAGGAGGAGGAGGGAGAGGAGGAGGAAGAGGAGGGAGGAGCAGGAGGATGGAGGAGGAGGAGGAGGAGGAGGAGGAGGAGGAGGAGGACACGGATGAGGAGGAGGAGGAGGTCGGTCCTCCGCGGAGGCGCGAGTCAGAGCTCGCGGCTGCCGGGCGGGTGCCGCCCCATGGGGGAGCGACGACGAGGGCCGGAGGCCACGGGAAGCGCCGGGCCGGAGGCCGCGGAGAGCCCCAGGAAAGGGAGCGGAGGGTGGGGGGACGAGAGAAGTGGCCGGAAGGCTGGGGGGAGGGGGAGGAGGAGGAGGAGGAGGAGGAGGAGGAGGAGGAGGAGGAGGAGGAGGAGGAGGAGGAGGAGGAGGAGGAGGAGGAGGGGGAGGGGGAGGGGGGGAAGGGGAAGGGGGCAAGCGAGGCGCGCTCGCGCCATGTCTGGCATCCTGCCCCTCCCACGCAGTCCTTCCCACTGCGCTACATGCGCTTTTCTCTATCTGCGCGCGGACGACGCGTGTCATGGCGGACCTGGTGTTGTGTGCGGGGGGGAAGGAGAGAGCTGCGTGCACAGGAGGAGGTGGCGGATGAGCAGGACGATGAGCAGGAGGAAAAGGAGGATGAGGAAGGAGGAGGACGAGGACGAACAGCAGCAGAAGGAACTGGAGTGGAAGAAGCGGGAGGAACAAGAGGACCAAGGGAAGGCGGAGGGGGAAAGCAGGGGGGCGACAACGATGAGGAAGGACTCGGATCCAGACAAGCGGCCCGCGCTGGGGCGAAAGCGCCATTCTGAAAGACGGCAGCAAAACCCCGATCCTAAAATGACGCCCACGCTGCAGCGGGAGCACCATTTTGGAAGAATCGAAAAAAATCTGATTGGAAAAGCACACACACACAAGAAGAAAAAAACAGCTTTGACCCATCCTGCGTGTGAGAAACAATACGTGGATGGGGGCGCGCGAATCTCACGACGTCTTCGGGGCGGAGAGGAGAAAAAATACTCACAATTCGCCGGCCCAAAGGGCCAGAGGCGTGCTAAGATCTCCGGTAACAGGTTAACAATATTTCTAGTTCGCGCGCGCGCGTGGCGGCCCCATGGACGAAAAGTACCCCGGGCGATGCCTGGCCGATGCCCGGCCGACTCCCCCAGTGCGCTCCAGGAGCGCTCCAAGCTGGCGCCGGGGCGCCCCCCACACGGACCAAGAGGCCCCGAGTCGCCGAAATATCGCTCCAAGACGCTCAAGATGGTCTCCAGATGGCCTCAGAGGCCGCGGAAAAGCCCCAAGAGAGCCTCAAGAGGCTCTCCAAGAGGGCCCCACAGGGCCCTCTTGGCCCCACGAGGCCCCCAAGAGGCCCAAAAAGAGGCCCCAAGAGGCCCCCAAACGGCCCCCAAAAGGCCCCAAGAGGCCACGAACGCGCAGGCAAACGCCTGAGATGGCACAGTACGGGCCGGCGGAATGAGCGAAGCGATTAAAAGTAATTGTGCAGAACCCACGAGGGAGGATAAGTAAGGGGCCCCGCCCATCCGCGGGGGGTATGCCACGTTTTCCCAAGGCCACCGGCACAATAGAGAAAGAGAGAGAGAGAGAGAGAGCGACCTCCTCCTTCCGCGCCTCGCCTCCACTCCGCCGTGATCTACCCCTGTCCTCATCCACCCCCCTATGCCCATCACGCTGCTGCCGGATCCTTCCCCTTTCTCCATCCGTCCCCTCTCTTCGCCTTCGCCCCCCTTCCCGTAGGTTCGTGAATTGCGACTACAGGCGGTCCACGACCACTTCGGGCCAAACAGCCCAAAGCAAAAAAAAACACCAGGAAATCTTGAAACCAAAACCTGGGGAGGTCAACATTCTGAAATTATCCCAGTGCGACCCTACCTAGGAGTTGGACCCCCTAGGAAAGCAGCATTAGTAGTAACAGTAACGCTAAGCTAAAGCTAAGCTAAAGCTAAGCTAAAGCTGAGCTAAAGCTGAGCTAAAGCTAAGCTAAAGCTAAGCTAAAGCTGAGCAACAGCTAAGCTAAAGCTAAGCTACAGCTAAGCTAAAGTTAAGCTAAAGCTAAGCTAAAGCTAAGCTAAAGCTAAGCTAAAGCTAAGCTAAAGCTAAGCTAAAGTTAAGCTACATCTAAGCTAAAGCTAAGCTAAAGCTAAGCTAAAGCTAAGCTAAAGCTAAGCTAAAGCTAAGCTAAACGCTAAGCTAAAGCTAAGCTAAAGCTAAGCTAAAGCTAAGCTAAAGCTAAGCTAAACGCTAAGCGAAAAGCTAAGCGAAACGCTAAGCGAAACGCTAAGCTAAAGCTAAGCTACAGCTAAGCTAAAGCTAAGCTAAAGCTAAAGCTAAAGCTAAAGCTCCCAGGGGACTGGGGGGAACCGCTCCCAGGGGACCGGGGGAACCGCCCGGGGCGTGTAGCACTGCCCGGCCCCTTTAAGCTAAGAGAGTAAGAACCCTTCTAGGCAGAGCCTAGGTAGGGAAAAACTCAAACACCGAACCTGCGAAAAACTCAAACCCACAAAAACATAGAAAAAACCTGAAGCTCAAACCTGGGAACAAAACTCAAACCAAACAAAAACTCCAGAAAATCTCGAAGCCGAAACCTGGGAACAACTCTGGAAAAAACTCTCGAAAAACTCTGGAAAAACTCTGGGAATAACACTCTAAAAGAACTTATAAAAAAAAACCTTAGAGAAAAATCATGTAAAAAAATCAGAATACAAAAGTGAAAATGAAATTACACATAAAAAGAAAACAACAAAAAAACAAAAACCAAAAAATGATGGGAAAACTCTAAACGACTAAAAACTCTCTCAAACAAAAGCTGGGGGGGGAAAACAAAAAAAAAGACTCGAAACGTTTTTTTTTCCGGGTTTGACCTTCAGGTTTTTCTGAATGTTTTGTGGGTTGAGTTTTGTTCCCAGGTTTCGGCTTCAAGATTTTCTGTAGTTTCTTCTGTGTTTGAGTTTTCCCCTGGCTTTGTGTTTGAGATGTTCTCAGGTTGTCTTGGATTTTGAGTTCCCCATTCAAGATTATTTAACATTTTGGGGGGGGGTGAATTTCCGGCCGAAGATGCTTGAAGATTTCGGCAGATTTTCCGATGGACCGCCTGTAGTAAATTCCCGAACCTAACCCTTCCCCTCTCCCCTCCCTCCCTTCCCTCGGCCCCGCCCGCCTCCCCTCCCTGTCCCTCTTCCCCCGATCCCCTCTCTTCGCCTCCCCCTCCCTTCTCCCGCGCCTCTCCCCCCCCCTCCATCCTTCCCCCCCTCCCTCATTACCCCCCCGTCCACACCGCTCTCGCCGCGCCCCCGCCCGCCACGTCCTGCGCCGCCTCCCTCCAACCCCCTCTCCGGCGGCAGCGGCTGCGGCGCTGGCGGCGACGACGACGACGACGACGACGACGACGACGACGGAAATAGCGATGAGGACCTAGACATCTCGAGCCGCGGGCCCCCAGGACCTCACCCCAGGACCGGGCTACGGTCCAGCGCCATGTCTTGTTAGCCCCCCCGCCCTACAACTGAGGCCGCTCCTTGGCCAAAACTGGCCGTCGTGATTTCTGCCATGCCACAACGCTCGGCGGCCTGGCGACGACGAGCGGCGGGGGCGTTCCTGAGGGGCCTGTCCGCCCACAGCGCGCGGCGGACCACCACCTTGAACTTCAGGCCCATGGCCTCCGCGTCGAGGCCGAGCTCCGACAGCGTCGCGGCGATCGCCCTGCGCTTGCGTGGAATCCGCGGAAAAGGAGGAGGAGGAGGAGGAGGAGGAGGAGGGAGGGAAGGAAGTAAGGAAGGAAGGAGGAAGAAGGAAGGAGGAAGGAGGAAGAAGGAAGGAGGAAGGAGGAGGAGGAGGAGGAGGAGGAGGATAAGGAAGGACTTCGAGGAGGAGGAGGAGGAGGAGGAGGAGGAGGAGCCGGAGGAGGAGGAGGAGGTCCCCCCCCACAGCCCCGATGATCCGCCCCAAGGCTGGGGCTGCACGCACAAACGCTGCGGGGCCGCGCGGCCCTCGCTGTGTATCAAGTCGTTGTCTTCGCTGGCTTTCTGCCGTGCCCGGCAGCCTGAGCGCCTCGGAAGAACGTAGCGAACACTCGTGCCGCTTTCACCTGTCGACCCCCCCCACTTGCCGTCGCTCGGACGCCCATTTCCTGTGCATGTTTCGGTTTCGTGCGTGTTTTTGCTCGATGATCCAGGATGGTCCTGGATGGTTCTCGCCAAGAAAAAATGCACACGTCCGAGCGATGCCAAGCCCAATGATCCATGTTGGCGGTGGTTTTGAAAGAGTTGCGCTTCGACCGCCGTCTTCACCACGCGTGCCAACTCTGAGTTTGGGGGCGCGTGGGGGTGTCCACCAACTGCTTCCTTCGACGGTATGGCACCGTGGAGCCTATGTTTCTTATTCGCGATAACGCCCGAGACCGGCCCCGCCCTGCCCCCCTGCACACACACACACACACACACACACAGACACACACACACACACACACACACACTTTTGGGTCTGCGGGGCGAGAGCGAACATCTTCCGGTAAAAGCTAGGGGGGCTATGCACAGCTCTACTTGGGGAGACGGGGCACAGGCGGGCGGGGCCTCAGGCGGCCAGAGTGGGCGGGGCCCGGGGTGCAGTCGGTGCCGAAGAGCTTGCACAGGAGAAGGTACGCCGCGGACAGGGACCGGAGGCCCACACACACACACACACACACACCTGGACACGTCACCAGTCGCGCCGCCGCCACCTGGGAATGAGCCGCTCCTGCACACTCCCAGACGGCGCCAGCGCGAACCGTGACGTGGGCGGCCCCCCTCCCCTCCCCGACAAGGTCACGCACATCGTCTCGGGGGCGCGCAGACATGGATTCGCGTTAAGTCGGGCCCCCTACAGGGGAATTTTCGACGAAAAATCAGAAATACCCCAAAAATAATCAACAAGAAAATCCAAAACTAGTCTGGGGACTATTTTCTGAATATGTTTACCATTTCGCAATATTTTGGGGGTATGTTTTATTTTTCGTCGAATATCCCCCTGTAGGGGGACAGGCCCGACTTAAGATTAGCGATCCGTGGATTTAGCGCGCGGTCGCCTAATCCATGGATCGGGGGAGGTGCCCTCTCCCCAAAATGCGGCCAGTGCCGCCTCCTTCGGCGGCGGAGATCCGCGATTCACCACGGGAACAAGACCCGTCGCTAAGCCACGCCCCCTTGATCCATGTTTGCGATCGCCTGCTCATCGCCAAGGGGGTGCAAAAAAATGTCTCGCTCTTGCTGCCGTGTGTTTGGAGTGCGGACATCTGCCACGGGGGGTGGGGGGTGGCGGCGGGTCCGGGGCGCGGGGATCTCTCGGCGGCCCCCCGCTGGTCAGCACGGCCCTCTGGAAACCCGGTCGCGCGGCACGCGCCCCTCCCCCCTCCCCCATCACTCCCCCTCTCCCTCCCTCCCTCACGCTTTCCCTCCCTCCCTCCCCCCTTCCTCCCTCCCTCCCTCCCTCCCTCCCCCCCTCCCCCGCTTCCCCCCCCCACCCTCGTCCCCGTGTCTCCCCTGTCGGTCGTCTCTTCGTCGTCGTCTCCTTGCTTTGCCACTGGGCTCCTCTTGTTCGTGGTTGATGTATGTATGTGTGTAAATATATGTATATACACATGTATAGATATAGATGTTTTATACATACATACATACATACATACATACATACATACATACATACATACATACATACATACATACATACATACATACATACATACATACATACATACATACATACATACACATACATACATACATACATACATACATACATACATACATACATACATACATACATACATACATACATACATATACATACATACATACGTATGTGTATATATATAAATATAATATATACACATAGATTCCTCTTCCTATATTTGTATAAGCCCGGGCGGGGGGAAAACCCGTCACCCCCCCCCCCCCAAAAAAAAAACGGACTCCCGGGATCTGGGGCTTTGGGACCCTCCAGACGGGCCTCGAAGCGGCCACCGGGCCTCACATGGCGTTTTGCCAAGCCTTCCCGGCACACCTAGGGCAATCAGGGGGGTCATCGGAGACGTCCCAGAGACCCCCAAGACAGCACAAGAGCGCTCCAAGAGTGACCGACGTGACCTCAAGATGGCCCAAGAGGCCTCCAGGACGGCCCCAAAGAGGCATCCAAGAGCACTCCCAAGAAGGCCCCCCGAGGCAAAAAAAAATGATTTTCTGCAGGTTTTTGGTGAATTTTAGGGTTCTCCTCTTTTCGGCTTCCCGACGCTCCAAGACGGCGGTCTTCTGGGCGTCCGCAGCCGCCTGGGGGGCTCCAAAATCGCCCCAGACCCATCCGAAAGGGCTTCCAGGCAGCCCAAGAGAACCCCAAAACGGCACAAGACGGGTCCAAGATGGCCCTCGGAGAGCCCCATGGCAGCCCAAGATGGCCCAAAGACACCCTCCGAAGAAGTCCAAATCGTGACCCGGTCGTTCAGGGAGACCGCGGTTGGAGGCAGGGTGGCCCGAGGAAGACCCCGGAGGCCCCCAGAATACGCCCAGGAGGCCTCCAGAAGGCCTTAAGAAAGCCTGAAACAACTTTTGTGAGGCCCCTAGAGGCTCTCCAAGGAGGAGCCTCCGCAGAAAAGAGCTGAGGAGGATGGGGAGAATGCGCAGGGCATGGCGAAAATAAGGAAAAAGAAGCATGGAGGAAGGATAACGAATAACATTATTATAGCGGCGATACCAGAAAAAGGCAACCAGGAGTTATCGCTAAATTGTGGGCTTGACCTTGCTGCCATTCCGCCTGCATACCAAACTTCAAGGACCAAGGTGCATGGCGCGAAGCGCCACTGCAGTCTTGTATGTAATGTGTATATATACATATACATATATACATATATACATATACATATACTTATATATATACATATATATATATATATATATATATATATATATTCCTATAAGTTTAAAAGCCCGGGCGGGGGGAAAACCCGTCCCCCCCCAAAAAAACCGGACTCCCGGGATCTGGGGCTTTGAGACCCTCCAGACGGGCCTCGAAGCGGCCACCGGGCCTCACATGGCGTTTTGCCAAGCCTTCCCAGCACACCTAGGGCGATCAGGGGGGTCATCGGAGACGTCCCAGAGGCCCCCAAGACCGCACAAGAGCGCTCCAAGAGTGACCGACGTGACCTCAAGATGGCCCAAGAGGCCTCCAGGACGGCCCCAAAGAGGCCTCCAAGAGCACTCCCAAGAAGGCCCCCCGAGGCAAAAATCTTTGATTTTCTATTGGTTTTTGGTGAATTTTAGGGTTCTCCTCTTTTCGGCTTCCCGACGCTCCAAGACGGCGGTCTTCTGGGCGTCCGAAGCCGCCTAGGAGGCTCCAAAATCGCCCCACAACCATCCGAAAGGGCTTCCAGGCAGTCCAAGAGAACCCCAAAACGGCACAAGACGGGTCCAAGATGGCCCTCAGAGAGCCCCATGGCAGCCCAAGATGGCCCAAAGACACCCTCCGAAGAATTCCAAATCGTGATTCGGTCGTTCAGGGAGACCGCGGTTGGAGGCAGGGTGGCCAGAGGAAGCCCCCGGAGGCCCCCAGAATACGCCCAGGAGGTCTCCAAGGCCTTAAGAAAGCCTGAAACAACTTTTGTGAGGCCCCTAGAGGCTCTCCAAGGAGGAGCCTCCGCAGAAAAGAGCTGAGGAGGATGGGGAGAATGCGCAGGGCATGGCGAAAATAAGGAAAAAGAAGCATGGAGGAAGGATAACGAATAACATTATTATAGCGGCGATACCAGAAAAGGCAATCAGGAGTTATCGCTAAATTGTCGGCTTGACCTTGCTGCCATTCCGCCTGCATACCAAACTTCAAGGACCAAGGTGCATGGCGCGAAGCGCCACTGCAGTCTTGTATGTGTGTGTATATATATATACATATATATAGGTGTGTATGTATATGCCGATCTGAACCGTGCTCGAGGCCGTGGTCGAGGCCGTCCGTACGCAGAGGGGTGCAGCAGCAGGCTGGGCAGAGGGGGCCCCGCACAGGCGCCCCAGGGTGCCAGGCCGCTCGGGAGGAGCGGGTGGAAGCACGAAGGGAAGGAGGCGGAGGAGGAGGCGGAGGACGAGGAGGAGGAGGAGGACGAGGAGGAGAAGGAGGAGGAGAAGGATGAGAGGGAGGAGGACGAGGATCAGTGTAGGCGGCAGGCTGGAGGGGCGGGAGAGCACCCTCCCTTCGCTCTTTTGATTCGTCACCGTCGTCGTCGTCGTCGTCGTCGTCGTCGTGTTCGATGTGTTGTCGAAGGGTTTCTGAGCATCGTTTCACCGACCCCTATCCCCAGTGGCGTGGCCTGGGCCCCACTGGCCAACGTATCCCCCTAGAGGGGGACATGGGCCCTTTCCCTCGGGTCTCGACGGTTATATCCCCAACTGGAGTGCCGAGATGGTGGGGGTCTGGATGGAGATGGGAATGGGGATATGGGGTCGGTTGAAAGATACTGGGTTTCGGCGGTTATCCAAGAGAAGGAGAAGGATGCCTCACAGGGGGGGTCCGAAGGGGGGGCAGAGGGTCTCAGAGTTGTTGTCGAGGGGGGGTCGAGCGGGGCTCGCCCAGGGGGTTCGCAGAGGCCGGAAGTAGGTGAGTTTCCGATTGGCTTTCGTAAAGTGTTAGGGGCCCTATGGGTGTTCAAGGGTTTCACGGGGCTGCCTGGGATCATTGGAAACCCTAGT